ATTCTCACATCTTCTTGGACTCTCCAGATGCCTAGCACATCAGTGGAGGGGCCAGATGTACTACCCAAAGCTGGACACAACAGTACTCACATCACCTTTTTATTAAGTGCTCTTGCTGATTGCACACGTGACTGGTGGTCTTTTGTGGGCCTTCTCGCAGACCCTGACAACTACCAAAATTGCCTTCTTGGACCCTGTAAAACAAAAACTTCTGGCAGGGGTTCATCTGTCTGGGAGTCCCTTTCTAATTTGAAAACGGCCAATGAACTCTCCTTCTGCACATACACAGAATAAACCCAGGGGACTATTTCTGCAGAGTTCAGGATAGATCCCACAACCAGCAGATGCCAGCATTACATCTAGCTAAGATCACACAGAGGTATCATAGTGTCCTCCATTTGAACAACCCCAGTTTTCCAGTAGAAAGGAAAGGACAGAGATACAAGCCTGTTTCCTTAGCTGGCCAGTAGCTCAGTGGTAGAGTTTTTGCCTAGCCTAAGTGAGACTCTTGGTTCTGTGCCCAGCATTGCCAAAACAAAACAAAAATAACAATTGTTTTCTTATACTTTGTTTAAAAACAGACATTTGCCACTAAGCACTGGATGTCTATAAAGCCAGAGACAGAGTAGCAAAAATCTCAAGTTCAAGGCCAGCATGAGCCACACTGTCTCCCAATGCACATCTGTACTTGCCTTTTCACAGATGTCAGTATGGCAGAGGTGAGACCAATGAAGATGACGAAGCATTGAGAAGAGGAGGAAACTAGAAGGTTCTCAGGGACAGATACCAAGGACACAAAGGCTGCAGACAAATGGAACAGAGGCTGTGGGGGCAGGCTGCAGGAGTGCAGTGAATGAGGGAACAGAGGCTGTGGGGCAGGCTGCAGGAGTGCAGTGCATGAGGGAACAGAGACTGTGGGAGCAGGCTGCAGGAGTGCAGTGAATGAACAGAGGCTGTGGGGCAGGCTGCAGGAGTGCAGTGCATGAACAGAGGCTGTGGGGCAGGCTGCAGGAGTGCAGTGCATGAGGGAACAGAGGCTGTGGGAGCAGGCTGCAGGAGTGCAGTGAATGAACAGAGGCTGTGGGGGCAGGCTGCAGGAGTGCAGTGCATGAGGGAACAGAGGCTGTTGGGGCAGGCTGCAGGAGTGCAGTGAATGAACAGAGGCTGTGGGGGCAGGCTGCAGGAGTGCAGTGCATGAAGCAAGGGAGACAGACGCCCAGTGTGCATGAGGAAGAAGGAAAAACCCGACTGTCAGGGTGATGAGCAGGGCTAGGGAGGACTAGTTTAAGGTTTGGGGATACCAGAAGCAAAGGTGAAGCAGTTGCTATGTGAGAGTGTCTTCCGGCAGCATCAAGCAGAATGGATCACCTCCAAGGGAAAGCAGAAGGCAACAGGAGGTGGTGTGAGGAGTGGGGACCAAGCTGGCAGCACTCAACTGTTGACAACCAGCCCAGGAACACAAGTCCGCTGTTGAAAATGCTGAACAATGCCTTGAACCTAGAAAACCGGATCCTAGTCTGCCCTGCTGCTCAGGTGCCGGAGCTTAAAAGGTCAGACATGGAGGGCTTTGGCAAGAGACTCAAGTGTGTACAATGGTAAGAAAGAACACATAGGTCAAGGTGGGAAAAAGGAGCTAGAGAGATGATTCAAGTTACGAGCACTTACTGCTCTTCCAGAAGATCTGAGTTCAGTTCCCAGCACTTACATCAGGTAGCTCATAGCCTCCTGTAACTCTAGGTCCAGGAGATCTGACCCTTCTTCTGGCTTCAGGTCTCTTAGTCTCCTTCCCCTATCCCTTCCCGTTCTCCCTCTCCCCACCCCATACACACACGAGGGAGGGAGGAAAGGAGGAGAGAAAAAACATTTTTAAAACGATGAAGCGTCTGTAGACGAGAAAAAGTAAGAACGACATGTGGCAGGGTAGATGGACACAAGAGTGTGGTCAAGTACAGCACTTCTGACTTGCTGATCTGTGCTGTGCGTAGACAACATTTAGGGAGTGGGGGATCAAGGATGGTCTGTTGAAATCACTGGTGTAAAGGAACCACAAATCCCAAGAGGTCAGGGCATTGAATGGTGGCAATAAACTTAATTAGAGGACAAAGTCCATCTATCAAAGAGGTAGATGGAGCAATCAAAGTCCAATAAATTCTAGGCAGGGCAGAAAACAAGGCACTCATTGGTGATGGATGGGAGAAAGTGAACAGATTATAACCATAAGGAATGCAGAGACATGGGTTGTGGAGCTGGGTGACGTGCCCATGTTCAGGCCGGGATACAAAGGTGGGCAGCAATGGTCTGGAAGCTACACTTCTGGAATCCCACATTCTGGAAGGTCACATCTACCAGTAAAGCAGGTGGGTATACAGTATCAGCTGACTCCTGCCTACTTTAATCTCAAGAGTGCCCATCAGTCTTTCCTCTAGCTTCAGACAACACAAACACTGGTAGAGTATCCAGATAGGTTCCTGTAAGCTTTCAAAGAAATGTCTGGGAAATATAAAATTCATCTTAAAAGCTTTGGGAGGTGTACACAGTCACCCATATGCTCATTACAAGGTCTGAATAAATTAGTATTTCTATTAATTTTTTAAATGTTATTTTTTTGTATCATAAAGATCCTTTCCTTTTGCTATAGGAAAAAAAAGACAGGGGAGGTCCTAGAGCCTGGCACTTACCACAGTCTCCTATGACAGTTTCTGCTGTATACTTGTGCATAACTGGAAAAGCAGAGACTTGCGTGTCTTTTCCTTGAAGATGTAGCCATCTGGGTTATGTTTTGTAACTATCTCCCATCTTCCAGTGTCTATGGAGTCCAGTCAACCTATGGACTCATGAAATGCAGCATTTGCATGGACAGACTGAACCCTTTCACTCCTGGGACTACGCTTGCCAACCTCTGAAGCCGCCTTTAAAGTTGCCAACTTCTATCTTCGCAACAGCTCCTCGGCATTGCTGGGACTCTCTGAACGGCCCTGTTACTGCACTATCAAACGGACACAATCCGTAACTCAGGGCAAACACCTTACCTCTCTGGTTAATTTCCTCGAGGGAAGAATGGAGGATGTGGCAAGCATCTCATTAGACCATGTATCAACCTATGCCCTGCTGAGAGCCTGGAACGTACCTGGTACATGCTAAGTGCTATAGAAGCCTTTGCTACTCATTTGCATACCTCCTTGCCTGGTACCATCACTGGCTAATGAGAACATGTGGTGAGTGAATTAAACCATCAAGTCAATTTTCACCTCACAGAAAAATCAAAAAGTAGATATAAAAAAACAACAAGTCGATGCCAATGAAATGGCTCAGCAGGCTAATGGCGCCTGCTGCCAAGCCTAACAACCCGAGTTCAACACATGGGAGCCACATGACAGGAGAGAACACTCCAAGGTGTCCTCTTGGCTCCACATGCAAGCCCTGGATACCATGGGCCCACACATGAACAGACAGATGTAACAACAACAAAAAACAACAAACAAAAAGCCAAAGCATTCACTTATTTATAAAAGTTCATACAGTATAACCTGACATTTCAAATACATAATCTAAATTCCATAATTAAAATTTTTTTCACTTTGCCACAGGAAAGGGCCTGACTCCCTAATGGTCCCCTATGACAATTCCATTTGAAGCTCCAGGAATCCAGGGAGGGGGAAGCTGTAACAGGACACACCTACTTTATCTGCCACCGTCCTATAGTATGGTGATCTTTTATTTGTGCTGAAATGTGATTTCATTTGTATGTTATTAAACATAGTTGCCTGGGGGTCAGAGCTAATAGCAAGTCATTTAGCAGAAGTCTGGCAGTGGTAGCACACGCCTTTAATCTGATCACATGGCAGGCAAAGTCTCTATGTGTGTTCAAGGACACAGCCAGCATGGAGACCCACGCCTTTAATCCCAATACCAACCACAGAGACCTGGAGGTTTGTATAGATAGGCAGTGATGAGGAAGTCATGTGGTTGGGTTCAGAACCAATGAGAAGGTAGAACAGAAGGGCAATAAAAAGACGGGTCACACAGGAGAAGGTCTCTTGCCCAGGGGAAGGACGGCAGCGGCAGCGGGTGGTAAGAAGGTGGTCTTAGTTCTTGGCTACTGCTCCCTGATCTCTGGGCTTTTAACTCTGCACTTGGCTCTGTGTTTCTTATTTAATAAGACCGTTCAGAATTACATCTACACTGCAGCAGGAGTGTCTCCAGGCTGCTGGTGACAGATGGTGAACAACTGCGCCATCTCAATGTTTTCTAGCTACTGTGGCTATCATTCAAACTGTCCACAAAGCCCACAGACGCTCAGGGTGGGCAAGACCTCCTCCTCCTCCTCCTACAGTGGAGTGTCCTAGTCTACAGCTCTTCTCCATGCAGAAGCACGTCACCCAACGAAAGGCCGGGAGAGCCGACACTCGTTTATCCTGTGTCTTTAGGAGCATCTGCTATTTCTAAACACGTGGATGGGCTGTCACGAAACCAGCGTGGCCTCCTTCTTTTTCTGGTGCATTAGAAAAAGTCACCTACTTCTCTCATCTGGAATTGAATGAACGTTCACATTAAGAGCCTGGAGGTAGGTAAGTGTTCATGCTTCAGGGAGGTAAAATACTGGGTCAACCAAGAAGAAACAGACATGAAAGAACATGAATGAAGAGTCAGGGAAATCGCATTTAGCACTGAAAACAGAAAGCAGCATCCCTTCCCCACTCAAGGTCTTCACTTCCACCTTCAAAAACAAGCCAGCATAAAAATGTGTGTGTGTGTGTGTGTGTGTGTGTGTGTGTGTGTGTGTGTGTGCGCGCGCGCGCGAGACCCTGTTCAAGGAAAGTGTGAAAAAGACAAAAATAAAAGCACAGCATGCACACGCTAATTATAGTGTGTCCACTAATTAAATATTGGGAGTTTTTTATTTACTTAATGTTAAACGAAAAAAACAAACGAACAAACACACACGGTGACCCCAACTTGCCGACCGCTGCATTTGAGGATTAATATTCTCAAGTACGCACCTTTTAACTGCTCATCTTTAAGTATTGCTTCCGTGGTTGCCTGGGAAACCTGGCTGAAAGGAGAACTGTAGGTGAGCTCTCACTTCAGCTTGCAGGCCGACTTCCCATCCTGCTTAACAGTTCATCTTCCTGAGCTACTGGAGTCAGACATTTGCGCAACCTGATGGCATGGAAGGAAAAAAGTTTGTGAGTAATGACTTACTTGGAATATTCCTAACAAAAATACAAGTTAAAGAAACTCAGTCCTGTTCACATCAAATTTAGAAAAGAAATGGTTAGTTTCAAAAACCCTACTATCATACCAACACTTGAGATGACTCAGTGGTTAAGAGCACGTTGCTCTTGCAAAGGCCGGGAGTTCAATTTCCAGCATCCACATGGTAGTTCACAAGTAACAGCAGCTCCAGAGATCTGTTACCCTCTTCGACACTCTATGGGCACTAGGCATGTACGTGATACACATAAGATATATGCAGACAGAACATTCACATGCAAAAAAATCTAAAAACTTATAATCCAGTAACAAGAAATTATGGAATGTTATTTTATGGCAATGTTGGCAAGATAGTGACTTATAACAAAAGATAATAGAGAACACACTGAGAAAGCAAGGCCGTGGAAATACCCATGGAAAACACAGCCAGCAATCATGGGATGCTCTCAAAACCAAAAACGCCCACCACTTAACCCCACCCCAGCTCAGGCTCCCTGTCTTCCTTACACTCTATCTACAAGGCGACCCGCAGTCATTGCTGAATAGGTTACTTTGCTGTATGCCAACCTAATGATGGTGTTGATCATGGATTACCACACAGTCTAGAGTTGAGCCTAGGCTCAGGCAGCTGTGCAAGAGGTTTGCTCCAATCAGAGTCCATGTGGAAACAGGTTATAGGAGATGTGGCCCACCGGCCTTCAAAGAAAGGAAGAATGATTATTCCAACAAACTAACTAATGGCCAACTCAATATGGCCAGGTGATCCCAGAATTCCAATACCAAGGTTCTGTAGGGGTGGGTGTAGTTTAGGAAGTGTCTCAAGTTGAACTGACAGAGAGGAGCTGCAGCTGTGTAACTGACAACCTCCATGGGATGGAGTGACCATTTTTCTCGCGGGGTGCTTTATTCTAGCACAACTTTCTAATGTGCTTGAAGCATGCATTCTGGGACACCTTGCCATTCTCTCAGTTGACTTCCAACTATCAAAGTGAAAGATTATTTATTGAAGCAGGGTCTCACTGTATAGCTCTGGCTGTCCTGGAACACACAGATATCATGCCTTCTGAGTGCTGGGACTAAATGCATGTGCTACTGTGCCTAGCTAAAATGAAAGACTTTTGACTTCATGTCTTTTCAGTGATGACTAGGCAGAGCATTCTTTCTGTAAGTCCTTACTAAGAATGGCCCTTCTTTTAAAATGATTTATTTCGATTATTTTGAATTACGTATACGTGTATGGGTGTGCATACATACTGCAAGGATCCATGGAGGCCAGAAGGTTTGTATCCTTCCGGAGTTAGGGTCACAGGCACTTGTGAGCAAACTGATGTGGGTACTAGGAGTCTAACTTGGGTCTTCTGGACAGCAGTATATGCTCCTAACTGCCGAGTCATCTCTCCACCTCAGAGTGGGTCTTTATATACTGATGAGGGGCCCTTGCACTGCGAAAGTCTAAAACAACAATACATGCTCTTAGCTGAACGCTCTGAATTTTCTTTCTCAACCGCTACCCAACCCAAAGCAGGACCTTAGGCTCTACAAGTCCTTAGCAGTGACTCTGACCGCCATGGACCTCCAATGCAGAAGGACCTCTCCCAGGGATGCCACCAGGGCTTGGCATTTCCCATTACCCTCTGCAACCCTTACCTCTCATCAACTGGCTTTCATTCATTATCTTAAACCCAGATCTCCCCTGGCCTTTGTTTTTCCTGGGGTCCAGCCCCTAACACAAGGCTCAAGAGCTGGTCGCAATAACTGTTCACTGGTCTGGTGTTTGAGAGTTAACTTTCCAGGGAAAGCTGTTATACAGTTCCTTATAGTTTGGAACAAGTCAAATTCAGATGGGGCAGCATGATGTGTGATACTCTGTGTTCTGATAAATAAAGCTTGCCTGGAGATCAGAAGGGCGGCGCTAGCCACTAGTTAACCATAGAGGTCTGGAGGTCTATACAGACAGGAGACAGGAAGTGGTGAGGCTGGGCGGAGACAGGAAGTGATAAGGCAGGGCAGAAAGGATCTCAGTCCTTTTATGGCCTGGGGATTTGGAGAGGTAAGTAGTTTCTGGTGGCTGCTGATCTGCTTCTCTGATCTTTCAGCTTTTACCCTGATATCTGACTCCTGGTTTTTATTGATAAGACTAATTAGGATCATGCTCTAGCCGCTGGCTGTTAAGACTGTTCTTTCCTAACTTCGTTGGCAAAAGCCAGATAAAAACACTTTGCTGTAAGTGGTCACTCTGTGGCTTCACAACTGTCCTGAAGATGCCACAGGGAAATCAGAATTTTAGAGAAGGAAGCAGAAGGCAGGTTACAATTTTAAAGCATCCTACAAAGCTGAATCTTTGTGGCACAAAAATCAGCAATATATTTAGTTTTGAAAATGTCAGGGAAGTTCTGCAGATGCTCACACTTGACAATGAAGAATGAAAATCCCTTTTCTATGAATGGCTGTTGGTGTGTACATGGGATGGAAGGACTCCTTAAGAAAGTCTTATAACTCTCCTCAACTGTTCCCCGATGGTTTAGATCTCTAGGAACTCTCTCAATGAGAACAAGCCTCTGTGAGGGACTGGAGATGGTACTGGAGGGTAAGGCCACAAAGGGCACGGACTTGGCTTCCCCACAGTCAGCTTCTTTCTCAGGTGTGACTTTCCAGTGCCCGCTTTGTGCAAATGTGCTTGCAAAGTGGAACAGAGGGAGGCTACTGTATGTTGGGGGGCAGGGGTGGGGTACCTGGTTCCAAAGGGCATGAATTAGAGTGACTGAACAAAGCCAAGTGTCGAGCCTCAGAAGCCATGGCTCTACAAACTCTAGAAATCCCAAAGATGGTCCACATGGAGGCTGTTTTTTTTTTTAAACTTTATTCCAAGTATGCTATTCAGTCTTCTATTTTTTAATGAGATTTTTCCAATTAGATCTCAGTTGTCATATCAGTATATTTCCCTCGACTGGGTCAACAGTTAATGTTTTGAAGATTGTTTCCAGGCGTTAGAAACTAAGCCATAAGAAGATATGGCTCAGCATTTAAAAGTACTTGTTGGTCGTGCAGAGGACCTGAGTTCAATTCCCAGCACCACACGGTGGCTCACAACCATCTGTAACTCCAGGTCCAGGGGATCCAAAACCTTCTGACTTCCTTGGGCATCAAGCACGCATGTGGTACACATACATACATGCAGAAAAACACTCCTACACATAAACTAAAGAGTCAAAAACCACATCGAATCCCCTGAGCGAGGATGGTGGTCTACAGCGAGGATGGAAGAGGGCACAGTTAGGTGGATAAAAGGCAGGCTTGAGTTGGGATCCTGCATTCAACTTTTTAAAACTGTTTTATTTGCTACATAAAATTTTTTTAGAAAGTTTTGTCTATGTGCGGTATAATTTATGTGTTATAGGCAATACATATCTAAAGCCCTTATATTAAATGGCCTTTAACCTACTTTACAGTTTTCTACATTTAACTTTTTGATGTTCAGCCTTTGCCAGTCCATATACTAAGAATGAGTAATATTAAAACAGCAATGGCACATCGAACAGACCTCACTGAATTCAGAAGGAACACAAATGCAGTGCTTCCCTGTATTCTTCACTTACACGACAGAGCCTCCGAGCGTCTGCATGGGAATCCCCACACGAACCGCAGCCATCTTTTAACTGAGAGTGGAACTGAAAGCCAAAAGGATTTCCCCTGCGGTTGATTAAAAACACTGCTCTTGTTTTTAGTTGTCATTCCAAGTGACCATGAAGTGAGCAAAAGACCCCTTTCAGGAGTAGTTTTTCAACCTTCTCCCTCAGTGCTGGATTCTGAAACTGCCTCAAAGTCAAACAACTCTAAACACAGTTCCCAAGGTCAAGGCAGCACGAACACGAGAGGAGACATCAAGTCCCTCCGACCCAGTGTTTACAGCTCTGGACGACACAGAATGGCCCCAAGTGTGGACCCATCAAATGAGTCATTTTGGCAATCACAAAATTCGTCACAAGTTCTGAGACAGTATCCTAAAACACATACAAGAACACTATCACTCAGACATTTCCAGAATATTCTGATTATATGCTAAAGTAATACTATTTTAATCTTTTTTGTTTTGTTTTTTGAACAGTTCTATAGAACTGTCCTGGCTGTCCTGGAATTCACCATCCTAGTCTACAAAAATCTACCTGCCTCTGCCTCCCGAGTGCTGGGATTAAAGGTGTGCGCCACCATTGCCTGGCAGTTTTTTCATAAATGTAAATAAGGCCTTGAGTTGATTAAGAAACTAATCAGATAAAAACCAAATAATTTTACCCCCTCATGCACCACAGAGACAAGAAGGCCAACAGAGGGAACCTATGAACTCCTACGATCAACTGTGTTTAGGTGGAAGCAGCAGTTGGAGCTGAGGGTGCAATGAACTGCTCCAGTGTCTCCAGCCCACGTAAAACTCACAAATCTTTTTTTCCCAAAATTTTATTTATTATGTATAACAGCCAGAAGAGGGCACCAGATCTCATTATAGATGGTTGTGAGCCACCATGTGGTTGCTGGGAATTGAACTCAGGACTTCTAGGAGAGAAGTCAATGCTGTTAACCTCTGAGCCATCTCTCCAGCCCCCCAAAACTCACAAATCTTAAGAACATTTTTATACTCGAAAATACTTCCACCCATTAATTATAATCAATGTAGTTTGACGTTTACTAGACATAAGAAAAAAAATATGAGGCTTTCTTGTGCTAAACTCAGGAGCTATCTGTGCAGCATCAGGGTGGGGCAGCTGATGCAGTTTGCAGATTATGGAGATTTTAAAATAAAACTAAAATGCAGGCTGATGCTAAACAACACTGCTTCAAAACATTCCCGCCTTTAGACCAGTTTGTTTTTTTTACTTCTTGCACTTAAGGCTTCCAACATGAAGTCTATACTATAGACATCTGAAATCAGATACACCCTGCCACAGCAGGTA